ACTAGAACCCAGAAGCAGATGAAGAGGACAAGACCATGCGGCAGAAGCACATAAAGACAGCTTACCTGAACAAGGAGGAGCTAAGGCCCACTAGACTGATAGCTGGGAAGCCAGCATGGGACTGATTCAGCACCCCCTGATTATGGGTCTCAGCCAGAAGGACTGAGCAGTCTAAGAGACCTCAGACAGTGGAGCCAGGATGTATCCCTGGTGCACAAAAGGACTTTGCGAACATATCCCCCATGGAGGGATAACTGCCTTAATCTAGAGACAGGAGAGAAGCCCTAGTCCCTACTTCACATGACCTGTCAGATCTACATGACCCCAACTGGATGGCATTCCCCTACATATGGAATTGGGGTGGGGGGATGGGAGGGGAGGGTGGTTAGAGTGCATGTGAGAGGGCAGAGAGGGTAAAAGGGAGGGAAGGAGGGAGGGAGGGCTGGAGGGGAGGGAGGGAAGGAGGGAGAGGGAACTGGGATCAACATGTAAAATAATATATTAAACTAAAAAAAATGCTTTGACTCCAAAATTTAGGATGAAGGACAAGTTACTGGGGAAAAAGGATTTCTACTTTTGTTTCCACAGAAAATGAAAAGATGTGGATTCCTTCCAGACTAATTTGGTTTGATCAGGCCAGACAGTCTGAAACAGAGTACAAGCTGATCCTACATTCAAAACAGCTGGACAAAACAGCCTTACAGACTACAGCCAGGATATCTGAATCTTCTTCGAATCCCCCAAGACAGCGCCCCTTACCAGCAGGAAGTAGTTTGGAAAGAACAACGCCCAAATTCCCAAATATTGTGTATAAATGTTTGTTTTCATTTAATTGGACTATGTTATATAAAATTAAATAAAATTAAAAAAAAAGAAAGAAAACAGGATCAAACACCCATACATAAACACTGAGTCGAACTAGAACCCAGAAGCAGATGAAGAGGACAAGACCAGGCAGCAGAAACACATACAGACAGCTTACCTGAACAAGGAGGAGCTAATGGCCACTAGACTGATAGCTGGGAAGCCAGCATGGGACTGACTCAGGCCCCCCTGAATATGGGTCTCAGCCAGAAGGACTGAGCAGTCTGAGAGACCTCAGACAGTGGAGCCAGGATGTATCCCTGGTGCACAAAAGGACTTTGTGAACATATCCCCCATGGAGGGATAACTGCCTTAATCTAGAGACAGGAGAGAAGCCCTAGTCCCTACTTCACATGACCTGTCAGATCTACATGACCCCAACTGGATGGCATTCCCCTACATATGGAATTGGGGTGGGGGGATGGGAGGCAGGGTGGTTAGAGTGCATGTGAGAGGGCAGAGAGGGTAAAAGGGAGGGAAGGAGGGAGGGAGGGAAGAAGGAAAGGAGGGAAGGAGAGAGGAAGAGAGGGAGAGGGAACTGGGATCGACATGTAAAATAATAAATTAAATTTAAAAAACAAATGCTTTGACTCCAAAATTTAAGTTGAAGGACAAGTTACTGGGGAAAAGGATTTCTATTTTTGTTTCCACAGAAAATGAAAAGATGTGGATTCCTTCCAGACTAATGTGGTTTGATCAAGCCAGACCGCCTGAAACAGAGTACAAGGTGATCCTACATTCAAAACAGCTGGACAAAGCAGCCTTACAGACTACAGCCAGGGTTTCCGAATCTTCTTCGAATCCCCCAAGACAGCGCCCCTTACCAGCAGGAAGTAGTTTGGAAAGAACAACGCCCAAATTCCCAAATATTGTGTACAAATGTTTATTTTCATTTAATTGGACTTTGTTATATAAAACAAATTAAAAAAAGAAAAAAGAGAGGATATAGATATGATCAACTAAAAATGTAGATAATTGAATCTACTATTAAAAGGCAACTACTAGTTTTGAATGTTTTATATTGGATTGGACATTTGTATACTGTATACAAATTTCATATATTGATGCATTTGAGATAAATTAGTTAAAACGTACTGTACATATGCTTCTAATCTTGTTCAAGGTATTGTACCTATACAACTCATTTAATAATGTAATACAAATTCTAGTCCTTGAGAGGTATTATTAACTATATAAATAAGGAAATGTAGGTTAGTAATTAGTTACCTAATGCAACCAACCTTGTGGTCACATTGAGTAAGTATTCAAGGCCAAACAGATCTATTTTAGAAAGACAAGTAATCTTCAAATACTTCAGAGATATACAGAATATGGCATTTATGATGCTTTAATGACATAGGTTCTTTTTTATGACAATGTGACATGTCTGATCCAAGCAGCACCAATGTACTAAAGAGATGATGCTGGACACTGAATAAACTCCACGTGGACTTAACTTTCTTTATGGTAAAAATGGCCACTGGGCAAGAAAGTGCCATTGCCGTGACTGTTGACAGTATATTGTCCTAGTTGGTCAAGCAGGACACAAAAGAGAGTGACTACCAAACCTTGCCAAGACAAGGCCTTCAAGAAACTGCTTTACGGAAAAGTCTGTAGAATATTCTAGACTTGTGGGCCAAAGATGGGTGCCCCAACATTGAAGAGAGACCTTGGGTGACTATTCAGGTAGCTAGCTATTCTGTAATCTCTCACATATTTTAGGACATTACATGCTTGCACTTCATGCTTACTCAGTTAAGATAATTTCCTTCTTGGGTCTCTGAAGGAGTTGAAGACTAGATATAAAGTTTTCCTTGCATACCAGACACAGTAAAGAAACTCATTAAAAAGATTTTAAGTGTATAAGGTTGAGAGAGATCAAAAGATAGTTTTGGATAATAATTCATATTAGGATAGAAAGTGAATTAGGTGCAAGACTTTGGACTCATAATGGTAAATATGGGTAAATAATGGATTTTTTAAATTGAATTATTCAAATGACAATGGACTATTAGTATTGATATATTTATTGCCTTTATTGTATAGTTATTCTTATATTAGAGGTAATCTTTTTTATTTTAGATAAAAAGGGTAAATATGGTGAAATTTTGTTTAGGATCTAACAAATAACACTTTCCTGAGTATCAGAGCAAAGAGCTAGCCACACTATTTACCCACAGAGGTCAAGCAGTGGTGGCACACAACTTTAATCCCAGCACTCAGGAGACAGAAACAGATGGATGCCTGTTAGTTCAAGGCCACCCTGAGCTACAGAAAATCCAGTCTAAAAGAGAAACAAAGCTCACACAATGGTGATGCCAGAATTTGGGATTGCAAGATTTTAATCCCAGCACTAGGGAGGTAGAGACAGGAATAATATGGCTGGGCAGGGGAATATCAGATGAGAAGAGACAAGAGCTCAGTGCAGTCTGAGCAGAGTCAGTCTTAAGTAGTCTAAGGATGTATCTGAAAAGGCAGTCAGTCTGAGGACAGGATCATCCCTTTGGCCTGAGAACTGGTAGAGGTAAGAACTCTAGTGACTGGCTGACTGCTTCTCTGATCCCTCAGGTTTCATCCTGATAGCTGCCTCTGATTACTTATTAAGAAAGATTAGAATCCTGCACAAAGGTGGCACATGCATGGGGCACTGCCATCATCCTGTAGTCTAGATTCCACTACATCAATTAACATAAATGAGATCACCCACAGACATGACTATGGGCCAATCAGATCAAGGAATCTACACAACTGAGATTCACACATAGTGCTAGACTGTGTGAACTTGAGAGCACAATCAACAAGGGACATCAGCAATTGAATTATTTCTTCTCAATAAATGTTCTTTGGTGTTGGTGAAGACTAGAATATTATTGAAGGGTTTTCTCATTAATTTATGTGTACAGTTTTGTGTTGATGAGGGACAGAGATATTACTAAAGGCTTCTCTGCATTATTTGAGTGTACAGAGAACCTCCCAAGAATGAAGTCTCAGAGGATACTACCCATGTAAAAGTCAGGTAAAATCCTTGCCATAACCTTAGCCTTTGTCATGCACCTTAGCAGTATGAATCCTATGATGCAGATACAGGCATGAGTAATAGCTAAACACCTGGCCATGCTCTACATTTGCAGAGACTTGTGATTTTCTTGATGCTCAAGAAGGGATGAAAGAGAGAGAAAAATCTCAATGTTCTGCATGTTTCTATGGTTCTTGCTTGTTTAAGGCAGCAGTTTCCAACATGTGGATAATGACCCTTTGTGGGGCAATGGCTTTTTCACAGGGGATACCTAAGACCATTGGATACATCATGATTTATAAGTAGCAAACTATTAGGTTATAAAATAACAAAAAATAATAATTTTATGGTTGGGGTCACCACAACATGAGGAACAGTATGAAATGGTATCAGCATTAGGAAGGTTGAGGATGACTGATTGGAGGTATGAGGGTTTGTTAAAAGCATTGTGACACCATTCACAGTTATGTTGTTTCCCTCTGGGATAATTCTAAGGTCAGGAAATGTTGATAGAATGGTAAAGTACCTCACTACACCCTTCACATGTGTATGACTTCCTTGTACTATGGCTTCTTCTATGCTGGGTAAGATCTGAATGATTCCAACAGCTTTACCACATTCTCCCTATTTGTAGGGCTTCTATTCAGAATATTTTTTATATCTTTTAGGGTCTGAAGAAGCACAAAACATTTTATGAACATTTTAATATTTGTATTATTTTACAGAAGTTTGAACTACCTTGGGTTGAAAAACACTAGAAATTTATTGAAAGGTTTTTAATTTTTTTTTGACACTATGACATTTCTCTCCAGTAAGAATTATCTGTTGTTTTTAAAGGTTCTTAGTAAGTGCCAAAGACCTTGACACATTCTCCACAGGCTTTCTCTCTCAAATAAATTCTTTGATGTTATTTAAGACCAGAAGACTGGAGATAGGCCTTGCAATTATCCACACTGGTAATGTTTCTCTCCATGTGAGTAGTCTGGTGTACAGAACATGTTGTGTAAGTTCTAAACTCTTTGCCTCATTCTTCATACTTAATGGTTTCTCTCCAGAATGAAATTTTTGATATTCCTTAAGGTTTCTGGTACACTTGTACAGTTATCCAGTCTTCACATTTGTAATGTTTCTCCCCAGTGTGAGTTCATCTGTGCTGAGATAGGTGTGACTTCATATAGAAGGCTTTTCCACACTGCTCACACTTGTGGGGTTTCTTTCCACAATGGATTATCTAGTGAGCTGAAAGAATCTGGGAAGTTTTAAAGACCTTTCAACATATTTCACATTTCTAGGGTTTCTCTCCTGCATGAAAGTATTGAAAGTAGTATGGAAAAATGGAAGACTTTGCCACACACTTTACACTTGTAGGGTTCCTCTCCTGTATGAATGCTCTTGAGTACAGATAGTCCTGGTGGATGATTGGAGGCCTTACCACATACTTCACACTTTCAGGGTTTCTCTCCTATGTGAATTTTCTTGTGTATAGAAAGTCCTGATGGACAGTTGAAGGCCTTGCCACATACTTCACACTTGTAGGGTTTCTCTCCTGTATGGATATTCTTGTGTACAGAAAGTCCTGATGGTCGAATGAAGGCCTGGCCACATACTTCACACTTGTAAGGTTTCTCTCCTGTATGAATCCTCATGTGTACAGATAGTCGTGATGGAACATAGAAGGCCTTGCCACATACTTCACACTTGTAGGGTTTCTCTCCTGTATGGATTTTCTTGTGTACAGAAAGTCCTGATAGACGATTGAAGGCCTTGTCACATACTTCACACTTGTAAGGTTTCTCTCCTGTATGAATCCTCATGTGTATAGATAGTCGTGATGGGATATAGAAGGCCTTGTCACATAGTTCACACTTGTAGGGTCTATCTCCTGTATGAATTCGCTCATGTACTTTAAGTAATGATGCAGCATGAAAGACCTTGCTACATACTTCACATGTGTAGGGTTTCTCTCCTGTATGAAGTCTCTTGTGTTCAGAAAGTCGTGAAGGAACATAGAAGGCCTTGCCACATTCTTCACACTTATAGGGTTTCACTCCTGTATGAATTCTTTTGTGTTTATAAAGTAATGACGGAGAATGAAAGGCTTTGCCACATTCTTCACACTTGAAGGGTTTCTCTCCTGTATGGATTCTCTTGTGTACAGAAAGTGGTGATAGAACATAGAAGGACTTGCCACATACTTCACACTTGAAGGGTTTCTCTCCTGTATGACTTCTCTTGTGTACACAAAGAAATGATGGAAAACGGAAGGCCTTACCACATTCTTCACACTTATAGGGCTTAATGCTTAAATTAAGTTTCTGGTGGTTAATGGGTTGTGAGTTCCAAGGAAGGGTAATGCCACATTCTTTTCCTGTAGAGTGTTTTTTTCCTGGTGAGTAAAGTTAAGAAATGAATGAAAAGTGAGCAAAATTCTCTGTATTTATATTTATTTTTAACAGAAACATTTATTCATACCTGCATTTTAAAATATAAATAATGAGTTACATTCAAATTTCTAAAGTTGAATTCAGTGGAGCATAATTTAAAAAACCATAATAGATGGAATTTATGTAACTTGCAGTGAAAGATGAAGATGATGACTATATAGAACATAGAAACAAAGGAGTATTAGTCAAAGTCAAACATATAAGGAAGGCATAACATCAATTAAGAAAACAAGATTATTATGATATTATATTGAGGTGCTTAAAGAAATATAGAAATTTTGTGACTAGATGAACACAAAGTATTAAAGTAGTCAAAGTTGGAGGACACAAGATATACCATATAATACATACACACACACACACACACACACACACACACACACACTTCTAAGCACAGATTTTTAGTTTTGGAAAAATATGAAAGTTAGACTGCATAACTAGAAAACTATCCATATCAATATTAAATAATATTTATGGATTGAAAATAGGAGGATCTATGCATCATTTATGAATTAATACCCATTGACTTATTAAAAAGAAATCATGGTCACCTAGAAATTACAGAATTTAGGCATTCACTGTGAACATAGCTGACCTAATGGAAGTAAGACTAAGCAAAAGAGAATCCACACATCATAACATCCTTCTGCACAGCAAAAGAAAGACAAGGAGACCCTTAAAAACTGATTTTCATAAGAACACTGTGAGTCAATGTTCATGACAAAGCCTGGCTTCCTGCTGGATCCCTGGCCTCCCACTCTGTCTTCTTTCTCCCCTCCTGTTAACTGAGTTCTTAATTGGTCTAGATAATAAAAACCCAGAGTCAGATATAGAGGGAAATGCTGAGAGATCAGAGAGAAGGAGCAAGCCACAGCCACACCTTTCTTGTTTCTCCCTGCTATTATATCCTGGTTGTGCCCAGCTACATCACTTCCTGTCTATGTATACAGACCTCCAGACATATATAGTTAGCTAATGGCAGACTCCATTCTCTGACATGCAGACAGGCTTTATTTATTAAAAAAAAAAAAAAAAAAAGATATCACCACGCCCTCCATTCCTACACACCTGTTTGCATGGCAACTGCTGCTGGTCTCTTCATATCTGTAGGCCCTTGACTTTGCTCCAGAAACGTGACCAGGTATGGCTTAGAGGAAACAAGACCTGTTTGTGGGAAAAGAGAACAGCATTATTAGTGTGTTCTTCTGGAGATCACATGCCCTCTCTAGGACTGGATCTATAAGAAATGAGAAGATGTAATCAAGGATTGTAGAGAATTAATTCTTCATGTGTTTACTGAGGAACATAGCAGAATGCTTAGAAGAATTTAGGATTTGCATGTCCTAACTTTCATGTTCCTCGGTTACAAGGAAAATGTTAAAACTCAAGAGTCTGATATTCTTTTTAAATAGTATACTTCCATTCTCACCCACTTACTGTATAATATTACCTCTAATATAAAGGATACTTCTAAAAGAAAAGGGGAGATTATGAACACAAGAAGAAAAATCGTTCTAAGGTGTGTGAATACTCTCCTTAATTTTCCTGAAAATTAGCCCCAAGAATCACATTGTTTGAAGCACAAGCTCCCATGAGATACTGCACAAAGATAGCATGATGCTGACCATTAAATAAAAGTTCACCATGGAAGTCTTCCTTGATGGGAGATGTCATTCTGTAAATACATTTCTCATACTGGTTAATGAATAAAGCACTGTTGGCCAATAGGAAAGCAAGAAAGGAGGGACTAGGAGACAAGGAGGATTCGAGGAAGTAGTAAGGAGGAGTCAGCATGTAGAGACTGGAGAAGAGAACACCAGTCGACCTCTCCTGTAAGATGAGACCACGTGGAAAAAATACTTAGATTAATAGAAATGGGTTAATAATTAAGACAGAGCTAGCAGATAAGAAACAAGTAACTGGCCAACAGCATTACATCAAATACAGCCTCTCTGTGTATTATTTGGGGCTGGCACCGCAGTGGGTCTAGGCCCACAGGAAAAAACCTTACTCTTTACACTTCCTCACCCAAGATGTAGAATATTACTTTAAGGTGTGTTACTTTGTTTACCTCTGGAACATTTGTTTAATGATGCAAAGATGTGTTTGATTAAATAAAATTCACCTCTGGTCAGGAGGCTGAGTCAGCAACTAGCTGACAGGAAGTTGTAGGGAGCCAGATGGAGAAGGGTTTATAAGTAGGGCTGAGGAGAAGAAGGGGGTTTTGGGCGAAACAGGAGCAAGGAAAGGAGGTGAGGTACTGGCTATTCAGCCTCTGAGGAGCAGAATCCCATCTCAACCTTTGAATCTTGAGTTCTTTCGAAGGACAGAGATTTAGATAAGTTCTCTTCCTAGCTTTCAAGGAGTCCAGTGCCTGAGGGAACAGAATTCTCCCAGGCTGCTGCTCCTGTGGCCTAACAGCTGCTGGTAGCAGAGGAGTCGAAGTTCCTGATGAGGACAGTCATGGTTTAAAAGGCAACAACAATTAAAAATCAAAGAACAACTCACCTAGGAACACAAGGTTGCTGAAATTCTCCAACATCACATCCCTGTACAGATTCCACTGATCCAGGCTCAGGGATGCAAGCTCCTCTGCAGAGAAATCAATGGCCACATCCCTGAAGGAGAGCATTTCCTGAAATAAAGAAAAAAAGAAAGAATGCTATACATTATGCCCACTAAAACTGCCAATAAAAACATGAATACCTATAGGTATGTGTGCTTCTAGATATATATGTAAAGGTGACTTAGATAGAGAGAAGGGGAGACAGAGAGAGAGAGAGAGAGAGGGGGGGGGGAGAAGAAAGCCAGTATGGTGACACATGTGTGCAATCTTAGTTTATGGAAGGGGTGGGTAGGGATACAAGGCACATGTGGCCAGCCTTGGGATTTCAACACTGCCTGTGCTGTATAAACTCCTCCCTCGTTGAAAAAAAAACACTCTCTCTACCATTAAAGACAATGAAGTTAAGAAGAATAAATGGCTTGTTGATGCCCTACAACAACAACAAAACATAACAATGATGGAAATGACAAGGACAATACAGGATTTGGAACTGGAATTCAATAAAGAGAAAGACTGATGAGGGCTTTAGCTGAAATGAGGATGGAATTGAAAAGTCAGCAACCCAACCACAAAAGCTTACAACTGAATGAATCACACAGAACAAGGTGTCAAGACCTAGAGACGGAGTAGCTCATCTACATGAAATAAGTTAAGAATATGAAAATAGAAAAGAACACACAAAGGGGATCATAGGAGATGATAATCACTATGAGAAGATCATCCTACAAAAAAAAATGGGCACAGATGGGAAGAATCCCCAGGCACAGACAAGATCTTCAACAAGATCATGAAAGAAATTCTCCTCCAACGAGAAGAAGCACACAGAACATACAAGACAAGAGCACAAAGAACCTTTTCACGGCATACTGAGAGCTGCAAGTGAAAAGACATATGCATAGACATCAGAGCTGATTTCTTAGCAAAAGAATTTGGAACCCAGAAGGGCCTGGAGAAGTGCATTGCAAGTTTTAAAAGACTGTGACAGCCACCTGGGCTACTACACACAGCAAAACTATCTGTCGTAGGTGAAGGACAAAGAAAATATAAGAAGTATTAAAAATGTATAACATACAAACCAAATAAAGAAAATACAGGAAGCAATGTCTTAGGCTAAAGAGGAGGATGTGCAGAGCAAAGAGGTGTGGGAAGAAGTAAGAAGCCAAAATTACTGAAACACAGGGCCACTGAGAACACTAACAGCACCACCAAAAATCAACAGCACAATGACAACTAACACTCACATAGCAGAACAACTAATGCCCTCCATTCCCCAGGCAAAAGACATACGCCAGATGAATGGATCAAAAAACAAAAAACCCACCTTTCTGTTGTCTGCACAAAACACATTTAAGAGATTTCTTTTACAGATAGGTTTTCAAGACAGTCTGAATTTCTTTGTTATCCATTGTAATGTCAGAATGACATCTCCCATCAATGTCTCCCTGTTCATTTCCTGTAGGAAGGGTTCTAATTGTTAATAATAAAAACTCGAAGTAGGCTATCAGGGGTTGAAAGCTGAAGGATCAGAGATGCAGAGCGACTAGCCACTAAAAAAATTCTTACTTCTACCTGATTGACTGCTCGGAATGACCTCAGACTGCTTCAGACTGCTCCCCAGACTGTATTGAGGGTCTGTCTCCTCCTACCTTATATTCCTCTCTCCACCCAGCCATATCACTCCTGTTTCTCCTCCCTATGCTGGGATTAAAGGCGTGTGACTCCCAAATACTGGGATTAAAGGCCTGTGACTCTGACTCTGGAATCCTGGAATTAAAAGTGGAGTCCCCACCTCTTGGCTCTGTTTCTCTTTTAGACTGGATCAAACTCATGTAGCCCTGGGGTGGCCTTGAACTAACTGAGATCCACCTGCCTGATGACTCCTGAGGGCTAAGATTAAAGGTGGGTACTACCACCACCTGCTTGCTAGTGGCTTAGCTCTGTACTGTGATATATAGGCAAGCTTTAGTGGTTAAAACATAAACCAAATGTCACATTTTCTGATACTGGTCATTAGGGTCTTCTTTCTTTGGGTTAGTTGGGCCATGTGTCACTCAGTCATCTTTAGCTATGAATTTGTTGATTCTGTGAAATTCTTTTGTTTGTTATTAGTTCCTTAAGTTCTGTTTTGATTTTTATTATGTCTTTCCATGGACTGAGTTTGGATTAGGTTTGTTCTTGTTTTTCTCAGATGTTTAGTTGTATCATTAAATCATTTGCTTGTGGGGCTGGAGAGATGACTGAGAGGTTAAGAGCACTGGCAGTTCTTCCAAAGAACCAGGATCCAATTCCCAGCACCTACATGGCAGCTCAAAACTGTCTATAACTCCAGTTCCAGGGAATCTGGCATCTTCATACAGACCTACATTTAGGTAAAACACCACTGCACATAAAATTAAAAATAAGTTATTTAAAAAATCATTTGCTTGTACTGCTTCTCATATTTTCTTGCACAATTAGAGGAATGAACTTTTCTTTTAGGAATGATTCAGACAAGTCAGAGAGACTTAATCTTGTGTTTTCATTTTCAATCATATGCAGCTTTTATATATGAATGACCAAAGGTAAAGAAGATGAAGCTAACCTAAAAAGACTCAAAACAAATGGAGAGGTGGAATTGTGATAAAAGGTCTCTCTTCCAGCTTAAAAAAAAAAAATCCACAGCAGATATTCACAACTGAATTCTCTCTCCCAGACTTTCAAAGATGAAGAGTCACTCCTCCAACTATTCAAAACATACACAATCAGAAGAAATTCCCACAAACTCCATCTATGAAGACAATATTGCTCTAATAACAAACCTGTGTAAAGACACAACAAAAACCCCAAAGGAAAGCCAGACATGCACAAAGATAACTTCAGCCAAAAATATGGGCCAAAGAAAACATTTTCAACAAATGTTCCTGGCAAAAGGGATGTGCACTTGCAGAGACTGAAACTGGATTCTAATAGATCACCCTACATAAAAACTATCGCCAAACTCATCAAAGACCTAAACATGAAACCTGAGCACACACAGTCAACACACACATGAAACAGGTGTAGGAGAGGGCTTTGAGGACAGGACTCAATTTGCTCTATAGCTAAGGTTAAAATTGATTAGTGGGATTCCAGACAACTAAATAGTTAGGTACAAGTAAAGAAGTAAATAATCAGATAAACAGGAAGCCACAAAATAGAAGTGAACTTTTGACAGCTGTATACCTGACAGAGGAATAAACTCCAGAATATGCAAAGAACTCAAAAAACAAGGAGTCCAAAAAGCAAGAACTAAATAAGGACCCATTCTCAAAATAGGCTTGGGACTTGCACAGAGAGTTCTCAAAAGAAGGTGAAAATATCAGAGGAACATCTCAAAAACTGTCCATGTGCCGAGCAATTAGGGAAATATGAGTCTGAACAATCTGAGACTTTATCTTACCCTAGTTGGAATGACAAAGATCACCATAACAACTAAAATACAATGCTGGAGAGGGTGTGAGGAAAAGCGAACAATCATCCACTATTGGTGGGATGGTAAACTCAGGAAATCAGTAAATAGAGTTCTCAAAACTAAAAATAAATCTTTTATATGCCCCAGTTATACCACTTTTTATAATAGTTCAAAAGATCCTGACATCCAATCAGCAGATAGTTGTTTATCCATGTTCACTGCTGTTTTATTCATAAGAGCTAGGAAACGGAAACACCACAAACATCCTTCAACTGACCAATGGATAATGAAAATGTGGTACATATACACTATGGAATACTCTGCAGCTGTAAGGAAAATAAGAGTCTCAGGTCAATAGATGGACCAAGAAAAGATCATATTGCGTGAGGCAACCCAGATGCATAAAGACAAACACTGCATGTCTTTTGCCATCTGAGCCTCCTACCTCTAAATCTTCAGGTGTTTTTACACATCCTGGAACAACTGCAGAAACCAGGACAGTAAATACAACAAGCTTCTATCCAGTCATCAACACATGATGCCATTGACAAAAGGATGCTAGTGAGAAAATGGGAAATTAAACTTCAAACAAGGCAACAGAATTTCTCTAAGCACATGTATAAATTTTGAAATTTTACAAGATATCAGTTAGATGGATCCCTGTCGGGTCACTGGTGCTGAGAAGTGAAAGAAACCAGAACCAATAAACTATGTTTTCAAAAATCTTTTAAATCTTTTAAAACACAGGGTCTCATACAACCTAGGCTCACCTTGAATTTGCTATGAAGCAGAGGATGACTTTGAACTCCAGGTTTCCTGACTCTTCCCGGAAATACAGAGACTACAGGATAAGCCACAGAAGAGACTTAATTCAAAAAGTATATGAATATCTGGGGCCTGTGGGTGTGTGGGAGCATGCTGTTATACGATTCCTGCATTGTAAGGAAGGTGTTTTGACACAGAAGTCAGTGTGCTTTTCCCACTTCACATAATGTGACTCTTTTCCCTACAGATCAGCAGCACTAACTAGAAAGTGTCTATTATTTTACCTATGGTTGGAGACTCGCTGAAAATTCCAGTAGATGGGACAAGGTGGTTTGAAGCCCGTGTTTGTTAAGAGTAGACTTCAATGTCATGAGTCAGTCTCCAGCTGATAAACACTTGGTTTGACACACGTGGGTAATATATTCAAGAGCACATGAGATAGGGGGAGGGGCTGTGTAGGAAAATTACTCATAAGAAGCTGTGTCCAGCTGTGAGTGAAAAATCTCTGGGAGTCTGTCTGTGTCTACAGAGACTGATGACCATGGAAAAGTTCAGAACTGTGGAGAGTGGAACTTTGCAGGTCCAGAGAGTAATTACCTTGCCTCGAGCTGATTTACCCTTCAGAAACAGTCAGTCCTTGCATCACTCTGTAGTGGACCAAACAGCTTGTGACAAAAGATTAAAAAAAAAAAAAAACTTTAGAATCCACTGACTTAGCCGAACACTAGCTTCCATCAATCCAAAACTTAAGTATGTCATCATATAGATCATAGGCATAGAGGATAGCTCCCCCACCTTGCAGTACCTGCTTCTCTAGTGTAGGCACCAATATTTCTTAAACTTGCCTTGATACTGAGTTTGTTCTGCAAAACTATGGAACACCATGACTGTTTCCAAGTTGGAGCATGTTATTTAACATAACATAATCTTTGGTCCTAGGGCATGGTCACTCAAATGGCTCCAGACTAAACTATACCCCTTTCCTTTAAGACTAGAGCTTCAGTTGTCACATAAACTTCTATATGAAAATAATCAGCCCTGAGTGAGACACGACCTTCCAAATTTATCTTTTTAGGTCTCTCAACTCAGCACAAAACCTTAGGCAAAGGTTTCCATAACTACCTAGGGAGCATCAGTGGACCTGGATGCCACATTCAGTGGCACAGTATGTTTAAGGGAGTGTACACACTATCAATAAAGTGAAGAGATAAAAGGAAAGCATGTGATGAGAGGACAGTGTACACAGGCTACCAGATCACATGGACCATTTCTCCCCTCTGCTGCTCGTATGCACTCCATAAAATTTTGCCACTCGAATTGGTATAAAATACTGATTGGCCAGTAGCCACGCAGGACATACAGGTAAGACAACCAAACTAAGGATGATCTGGAGTAGAAGGGCAGAATCTGAGGAGTCTGCCAGCAGACACAAAGGGAGCAGGAGATTAACAGTCCATGTTGATAAAGATATCGCTATGTGGCCAAGGGTAAATACAGAATGTGGGTTAACCAAAAATGTAAGCGTTAGTCAGTAAGAAGCCTGAGTTATGAGTCAAGCATATACAATTAATGTACAGCCTCTGAGTCGTTCTGGGGAACTGGCTGACAGGAGAGAAACATCTGCCTACACCTCTCCCTTTCGGAGATGTTCAAGCCTCCTCCTGTCAATCATGAGGTCCACTTATCACGCCACACCAAGTCCTCTGTCACAACAGAAAAGGAGCCCAAATTTCTGACATCACACTCTCAAAAGGAATCGATGCAATATTACTCTCTAGTAGTTTTCACTCTGCAGCATGAAGCTTGTAATCGTGTGGATTCTGCAAATACAGCGTCATACTAACTACAAAATTATTTTGTGTCACATGGGAGTGCAATGTGGTGATTCTGGTAGCAGAACTCTATATAAGTGATTCCTATTCTACCGCAGGCATCCATAGATCTAACAATTAATTCCAAAAGGAAAGAAACATCTTACACAGCAATCACCCTCACAGGACTGTCCCTGGAAACTAGGAATTTTGAAACTTCTGTGAGCTTCCTATAATATGGGAGGGTCTGAGTGTCCTATGAAGTGTCGGTGGGCTAGGTGTCCACTCTTTATAGAAGTCCTGAGAAATCTGACTACAGCTATGCTAGCTAGGGTCAGCTAGGGAGAGCATGCTACCCCAGGCAAGCAGAAAAGTGAGCTCCCTTCAGCTCCTAAGTCACCAGAAGCACAGGTAGACTCGGGCAGCAGAGCGTGCTAAGAGACTGGACACCTCCAGCTCTGGCATGACGCCCACACTCCTGTCAAACCTGCACCCAGGTGCAGTGGTCCAGCCTAGGTCAGCACAGCAGCAACTCCAGGTCAGTGTCTCCTGCCTCCCAACCAGCCCGAGTCAGCTCCCTCCACGCCAGACCCGCCACCTCGCACAGTCCCTCAGATCTGCAGGACAGCGCTGCACCCTGCACCAACCTCCATATCAGAGATCCAAGGGCAGCACTGAGCAGGACACGCGCTGGGGAGAAGCTAAGTTTGAAGATTGAAAGCGAAAAACCGGTGTCCAAAGACCATTCTTGTGACGTCATCGTATGCGAGACTACATTTCCCACAAGGCAGCGCGAAGGACTTCCGGGACCCCACAGAAGGAGATTTGTACAGTGCTTAGATCGCTGCCCCACTCTGTACAGGTGAAGTTGGAAAGAAACAGACTTGATCACAGGGACAGCAGGGGATTCGGGCTGTTTCAGTCCTGCGATCTCAGCACCCGATGTTAGCCGAGCCTTTCACAGTCATGTTTACCGCATTTCCGCTGAAAGGTTCTGATGTTAAAGCTCAGGTCTACTTATTATGAGATCTTAACTACCGCATGGAAACTCAGATTCAGCTGTTTTATTTAAAATAAGAAAGCAGGAAGCTAATGTAGGACTGAGCATCATCTTTTCAAGATGCTTTTTGAAGCCGCCCTTGGTGACCCTGCCTGTCATCCAGTGCCTCAGGCGCTAAAGACTGAAGAACCAGAAGACAAGGCTAACACAATTTATAGATGTGTTACATTTAAACACAATGTTGAGGATGCACAGTGGGCTAGCTCAGGGTAAAGCACTTGGCTATAATGAAGACGGCTTCTATTCTGTATCCATTAATAAAAAATAATCCTTGTTCTCTTGTGCTGACACACAGTGTGAACCATGCACGGACCAGACTCCACAGCTGGAATGGGGTTTATATTGAAAGACCCCCACTATGCTTATTGCCTGCTTGAGCTGCTCTCATTAATTGCCAAGGTCAAGTTATGAGAAAAGTACAGGAGGGAACCAGGTGCTGCTCTCATCCAACGCCAACCAGATATCTGTGGTCTGCAGCTTGGACTAAAGCAAGGTCAGCAGGACAGTATCCGGGATGCTGAGATAGTCATAAATGAATTCTTTGTATTCTTTGTGCCCAACCCGAATAACCAACTGTCCTTGGTTAACTACAACTGCTACATTTAGATGAAACAATGAAATCCCTGTAACCATGCTTCTGCTTCTGTAAGCCTGCTTCTTGCCACACCTACCTTATATAAACTGCATATGCTTTAACCAGGCTCGCTCTCTCAGTCTCTCGAAAGACTGAGGCGTCCATAGGTACCTGTGTGTAAACAATAAATAACCTCTTGCACTTACATCCAGTGGTCTGGTCTAGTCTCTTGGGGGCAAGGGCCTTCCCCCTGACAGGCTCCAAACTCTTGGGGTCTGCTGGGGTCTTTCATTGGAGGTTCCACTGAGATTGGAGACCCTTCCCCCGGAGACTGACACTGACACCCACCGGGAAGTAAGCTGGCCAGTACTTAATTTCTGTTCTTTGTTGTCTTGTTCATACATCTTTTACTTGTTGCACAGCGGTCGGTAATCAGCTAGTCGAGTCTGTAGGTGGCTTGAGAAGGAGCTGACAGGCTTGGGACTTCTACCTGCCACCCTGGGAGACGTTCCAGGGATCTCGGGCGCCCAATTTTTCGGAGCCCACAACGAGTCCCAGGGATTCGTGGTTTTGGAAGGGCCAGGGGGCTTAAGACCCTCTGTGCCTCCAACTCAGTATCTGGTTTTGGCTCTGTGCCGGCTGTCTGTGTGTTCTGTTTGCCTTGTCTATTTATTTGCTTCTTTATTTTGAAAAAGACATGGGACACTCTGTAACTACCCCTTTGAGTCTGACCCTAGATCACTAGAGCGAAGTCCAGGGCCGAGCGCACAACCAGTCAATGGACGTAAAGAAAAAGAGATGGAAAACCTGTGTGCTTCTGAGTGGCCGACATTTAACATCGGCTGGCCCCTTGATGGGACTTTCGACCTTGGTATTATCTTGCAGGTGAAGGAACGAGTCTTCGACGCCGGGCCCCACGGACGTCCTGACCAGGTGGCCTATATTGTCACCTGGGAAAATTTGGCCTCTGACCCACCCTCTTGCGTGGCTCCCTTTGTCACCCCCAAATCCCCTTCTAAATCTCTCCCCAAGACTGATGTGGCCCCACCTTTACAGGGGCCCACTGCTCCCCCTTTGCCTTCTTCTGTACCACTCATTCCCTCTCAGGCACCTGCCAAATCTCAATTATATCCTGTCCTCAAGAAAGAGAAAACCCCTCACTCCAAACCTATTCTTCCTGCTGATGAGTCTGATCTTATAGATTTACTTTCAGAAGACGGAACCCCCCCCCATCAGCCCCCTACCCAGGGCACTGTAGGTGGCGGCAATGCCCAGCAAAGGGGTCCGGACAAACCAGACAGTACCAGTACCACTCCTGCCCTGGACAACGAACAAGAAGAGACTACTGCAGACTCCCCGGTAGCTGGCAGATACCGTGGTCGAAGGGAGACAGCCACAGAAGGAACCTCCCGAGCCTTTCCCTTGCGCCAGACTGCTGGACCAGGAGGCCAATTTCAATACTGGCCTTTCTCGGCATCCGACCTCTATAATTGGAAATCTAACAACCCCTCCTTCTCCAAAGACCCTGTAGCTCTCTCTAACCTAATTGAATCCATCCTAATAACCCATCAACCCACTTGGGATGACTGCCAACAGCTTTTGCAGGTCCTTCTAACCTCAGAAGAACATTGTCTTCCTGGAAGCTCAGAAGAACGTCTTAGGAGATGATGGGAGGCCCACTCAGTTGCCTAATGAAATTGAGGAAGCTTTTCCCCTAAATCGTCCTGATTGGGACTTCAATACTGCTGCAGGTAGGGGACACCTGCGTCTTTATCGCCAGTTACTCATAGCGGGCCTCCGCGGCACTGGACGCTGTCCCACGAATTTGGCTCAGGTAAGACAGATAACCTAGGGACCAGAGGAAACTCTGACTGCATTTTTGGAGAGGCTAAAGGAAGCCTACCGTATGTATACACCCTTTGATCCTGATAGTCACGAGCAAAGGGGCAATGTTTCTATGGCTTTCATTTGGCAGTCAGCTCCAGATATTAGGACTAAGTTGCAGAGACTAGATCATTTACAAGATTATAGCCTGCAGGATCTCGTAAAGGAAGCAGAAAAGATCTTTAATAAGAGAGAAACACCTGAGGAGAAAGAAGAAAGACTTAGAAAGTTGCAGGAGGAAAGAGAGGACAAGTTAAAAAAGGAGCTAGAGGAGAGAGAGAGAGAGAGGGATCGTAGGAACCGGAAAGAATTAAGAAAAATCCTGGCCACTGTAGCTCAGAATAATCATAGTGCAGGAAGTCAGGAAAGGAAGGGAGAAGGAAGGAGGCCCAGGGTAGATCAAGACCAGTGTGCCCACTGCAAAGAAAAAGGCCATTGGGTCAAAGATTGCCCTAAGAGACCTAAAACTCAGAGGCATGGGGACAGACCCCGAAGACCAACTCAGCTTCTAGCCCTAGATGAAGAATAGGGCAGTCGGGGCCAGGAGCCCCCGCCCCCAAGCCCAGGCTAACCTTAAGAGTCGGGGGGCAGCCAATCATCTTCCTGGTGGACACTGGAGCCCAACATTCAGTTCTCACCGAAACAAACGGGCCATTGAGTACCAAAACAGCTTGGGTACAAGGAGCCACCGGAGGAAAACAATATCGATGGACCACGGAGAGAAAAGTTCATCTCGCATCAGGTAAAGTCTCACATTCCTTTTTGCATGTACTGAACTGTCCATATCCATTACTGGGTCAAGATCTACTGACTAAATTAAAAGCCCAGATCCATTTTTAAGGATCAGGAGCTAAAGTCTCTGGCCCACAAGGGGCTCCACTTCAAATATTGACTTTACAATTGGAAAATGAATATAGACTTTTTGAAAAGCATCCTAAACAGCAGGAAGGAAGGAATGGACTTGTGGTTAAAACAACACCCCCTGGCCTGGGCAGAAACAGGGGGCATGGTGCTGGCCATACAACAGTCACCCCTAATAATTCTCCTGAAGGCAACAGCCACCCCTGTCTCAATTAAACAGTATCCCATGTCAAATGAGGCATATCAAGGAATCAAGCCTCACATTAAGAGACTATTAGACCAAGGGATCTTGATCCCCTGCCGATCCCCATGGAATACTCCACTTCTGCCTGTAAAGAAGCCAGGAACCGGGGATTACAGGCCAGTCCAAGATCTTAGGGAAGTCAATAAGCGAGTGGAGGACATTCACCCCACAGTGCCAAATCCCTATAACCTACTAAGCACCCTGCCTCCTACTCATCCCTGGTACACTGTTCTGGACCTGAAGGATGCTTTCTTCTGCCTGAGGCTGAGCCCTCAGAAACAGCCTTTATTTGCTTTTGAATGGAAAGATCCAGAACTGGGCATTTCAGGGCAATTGACCTGGACACGCCTACCCCAAGGGTTCAAGAATAGCCCCACTCTCTTTGACGAGGCCCTTCACCAACACCTGGCAGAATTCCGGATCAGGCATCCATCTCTGATCCTGCTGCAATACGTGGATAACTTCCTCCTTGCAGCCACCACTGAACAGGACTGCAAAACAGGTACTGGGGCCCTATTACGAACACTGGGGAACCTGGGGTATTGAGCCTCTGCCAAAAAGGCTCAAATATGTAGACAGGAAGTCACCTATTTGGGATACAAGCTAATGGATGGGCAAAGATGGTTGACACCTGCCCGCAAAGAAACTATATCTCGCATACCCATCCCCAAAAACCAATGTCAACTTAGGGAATTTTTGGGGACTGCGGGCTTCTGTAGTCTCTGGATTCTGGGGTTCGCAGAAATAGCGGTCCCCCTTTACCCACTAACCAAGCAAGATATACCTTTTAAATGGACTGAGGAACAACAGCAGGCTTTTGATGCTATCAAGCAGGCCCTGCTGTCCTCACCAGCCCTGGGCTTGCCAGATGTCACCAAGCCTTTGAACTCTTTGTTGATGAAAAACAGGGCTATGCAAAAGGAGTCTTAACCCAAAAGTTAGGACCCTGGAGATGGACCATTGCCTACTTGTCCAAGAAATTAGACCCAGTTGCATCAGGATGGCCTCCATGTCTCCGAATGGTGGCAGCGATTGCAGTCCTAATCAAGGACGCCACCAAATTGACTCTGGGACAGCCAATGACCATACTGGCACCACATGCAGTTGAGTCCCTCATCCGTCAGCCACCAGATAGATGGCTATCTAACGCCCGTCTAACTCACTATCAATCCCTGCTCCTGGATGTAGACAGGGTTCAGTTTGGGCCAATAGTAACCCTGAACCCAGCCACCTTGTTACCGCTGCCAGAGGGACCAGCGTCCCATGACTATCAGCAGATCCTTGCAGAGATACATGGAACGCGGCCTGATCTGACTGATCAGACCTTGAAAGATGCGGACTACACCTGGTTCACGGACGGTAGCAGCTACTTGCTAAATGGTGTGAGACGGGCAGGGGCTGCAGTGACAAATGCCTCAGAGTTCATAAGGGCCACTGCACTCCCCGGAGGCACCTCTGCTCAGCGAGCTGAACTCATTGCTCTGACTCAGGCTCTCCAGATGGCAGCAGGTAAGAAGCTTAATGTGTACACTGATAGCCGGTATGCCTTTGCCACTGCCCATGTCCAGGGAGAAATTTATCGGAGAAGGGGCCTTTTAACATCTGAAGGCAAAGAAATCAAAAATAAAAATGAAATCTTGGCATTATGAAAGGCCCTGTTCTTTCCTAAGAAATTGAGCATAATGCATTGCCCTGGACATCAAAAGGGGGAAAGCCTGGAGGCAAAAGGAAATCGCCTGGCTGATGAAGCAGCCAAACAAGCAGCCTTAGGCCCCCAACTATTGACTATAAGCATATTGACTGAAAAGGAGACAGCTAAGACTCCAGATTGGGACTATGATGAAACAGATTTGGACATTGTTCAGAAACTAGGTGCTGATTATGACCCCAATCGGCAATGCTGGGTCTACCAAGGAAAGACTATACTGCCTATAAAAAATGGCAAAAATGTTAATAAACCACCTCCATAAACTGACTCATCTGAGCGCCAAAAAGATGAAAACTTTGCTAGATAGACAAGAAATTGGAACTTACCTTCCCAATCGGAATTTATTACTGGAACAAGTAACTGCTAACTGTCTGGCCTGTGCCCAGATCAACCAAGGAAACACCAAACTGGATCCTGGGACCTGGCTTCGTGGCCATAGGCCTGGTGTCCATTGGGAAATAGACTTTACTGAGGTCAAACCTTGAATGTATGGTTATAAATGTTTACTGGTTTTTATAGAAACCTTTTCAGGATGGGTGGAAGCGTTTCCTACCAAACATGAGACTGCAAAAATGGTCACCAAGAAACTATTGGAAGAAATCTTTCCCAGATATGGGATGCCACAGGTAATAGGATCAGACAATGGGCCTGCCTTCATCTCCCAGGTAAGTCAGCTGGTGGCCAGGTTGCTGGGGATAAATTGAAAATTACATTGTGCTTATAGACCCCAGAGTTCAGGACTGGTAGAAAGAATGAATAGAACCATTAAGGAGGCTTTATCCAAATTAACGCCTGGAACTGGCTCTAAGGACTGAATACAACTCCTACCTCTGGCCCTCTATCGGGCCAGAAACACTCCAGGCCCTCATGCCACCGCCAGCTGTATCATTCTTTGATGCTGACATTTCTGATTTTGCAAACACCCCTTCCATGCAGGTGCATCTATGAGCCTTACAGATAGTCCAAGAAGAGGTCTGGAAACCTCTGGCAGCCGCATACCAGGAGGAACCCCTTGTCAGCCCCACTCTTTCTAGATTGACGATTCTGTCTGGGTTTGGAGGCATCAGACTAAAAACTTAGAGCCCCGCTGGAAGGGCCCCTACACTGTGCTCCTGACAACTCCCACCACCCTGAAAGTGGACGGGATTGCTGCCTGGATTCACGCATCCCACGTGAAGGCCACACAACCAGAACATCGGACACAGGACCAGGCCCCATCTGAAACAACATGGAAAGTTCAACGCTCTCAAAACCCCTTAAAGAAAAGACTTTTACGTTCCAAACATTAGCAAGCATGCTTTTGTACATAGGTTTGAATGCTTCTGAAGCGGGATCTCCCCATGCCCCCCCCCCTCGCTCTTGACCTGGCAAGTGATTTCCCAAACTGGTGAGGTCATCTGGTCAACCTCTGGCCTTAATCTACCTGGCACCTGGTGGCCTAGTCTCACCCCTGATTTTTGCCAACTAGCTGCTGGACTGGACACTTGGGACATCCCCACTTATGGTGCAGACTCCCTTAAAAAGGACATGCCTAGAACAGAAGACAGATGGATAGGCTGTAGCAACCCCCCAGACCCAATGTTTTCTAGCCCAATCAGACTTCTATGTCCTCAGCTGAGTCAATCTAGGGGGTCAGGATGTGGGGGACATCAGGAATACTTTTGCAAAAATTGGGGATGTGAGACCACCAGGAGTGCCTATTGGAAGCCCAGCTCATCCTGGGATCTAATTATAGTGCGCCGAAATTACACTCGCCCCCCTTGGGCAGGAAAAGCTGCCACCCTCCCATCAATGGGGGGGGGGGTTGGGTCTGTGAGTCAGCCCGTTGTCTCCCTTTAAGAATTGACTTCACCATCCATGGGAAAAAGGACTATGCAGTTTGGATACAGGGCAAGACTTGGGGGCTAAGGTGGTATCTGCCAGGCCTGGACAAAGGAGTTGTCTTTAAAATTCGCCTGGAAATTAGAGATCCTGACCCACAAACCATAGGGCCAAACTCCGTGCTTACAGACCAAAAACTTCCCTCCAGGCCACAGCCAATTCCCCCTAACAACACCCACTTATTCCCAATCCCAGGTACGGGGGGGGGGTATAGACTATTAAAATTAATTAAAGGGGCTTACACGGCCCTCAACGCTACACGCCCTGACCAGGCCAAAGACTGTTGGCTCTATCTCCTTCTGAGCCCCCCCCCCATTATGAAGGTATAGCTATTAATGAAAACTTTTAAAACCATACCAGTCCCCCTCAGCAATGCTTAGACTCACCAGGTCTTAGTTTGACTCTCCCTGAAGTCACAGGGCAGGGGCTCTGCCTAGGCACAATACCCAAGACCCACCAGGAGCTATGTAATCAGACACTGCCAATTACCCCTGGCAATTATTTTCTTTCAGCTCCCAATGGAACCTACAGGGCATGTAGCACTGGACTGACTCCTTGCATTTCAGCATAAATCCTGAATAAGGCTTCTGATTATTGTGTTCTGATCGAATTATACCCTCGTATAATCTATCATACTTCTGAAACTGTTTATGAATTCTTTGAGAACAAACATAGGTACAGGAGAGAGCCTGTCAATATAACCCTGGCCCTTCTTCTAGGGGCTGGAATAACAGCAGGAATAGGCACAGGAGCAGCAGCCTTGAGTCAAGTCAGCCAATATGAGTCTCTTCATACTGCTATGACTGCAGACCTGCAGGCATTAGGAAAATCCATTAGAAATCTCAAAGACTCCCTAGTCTCCTTATCTGAGGTAGTTCTTCAGAACCGGAGGGGACTTGACCTCCTATTTTTAAAGGAAGGGGGCATATGTGCTGCCCTCAAAGAGGAATGTTGTTTTTATGTGGACAAAACAAGAGTTGTGACTGAGACCCTAGACAAACTACGGGATCGGTTGGAAAAGAGACAAAAAGAATTTGAGGCCCAACAAGGATGGTTTGAAAAACTTTTTAATCGCTCCCCTTGGTTTACAACTCTGATACCCACCATCACAGGACCACTAATTATATTCCTTTTGATTCTCACCTATGGTCCCTGCATTCTGAACAGACTAATACAGTTCATGAAGGAACGCTTGTCAGTAATTCAAGCCTTAGTTTTGACCCAACAATATCAGAGACTAAAACAATTAGAAACTGAACAACAGTGAATAAAAGGTTTTATTCATTTAATAGAAAAAGGGGGGAATGAAAGTCCCCCACTATGCTTATTGCCTGCTTGAGCTGCTCTCATTAATTGCCAAGGTCAAGTTATGAGAAAAGTACAGGAGGGAACCAGGTACTGCTCTCATCCAATGCCAACCAGATATCTGTGGTCTGCAGCTTTGACCAAAGCAAGGTCAGCAGGACGGTATCCGGGATGCTGAGATAGTCATAACTGAATTCTTTGTATTCTTTGTGCCCAACCCGAATAACCAACTGTCCTTGGTTAACTACAATGGCTACATTTAGATGAAACAATGAAATCCCTGTAACCATGCTTCTGCTTCTGTAAGCCTGCTTCTTGCCACCCCAACCTTATATAAACTGCATATGCTTTAACCAGGCACGCTCTCTCAGTCTCTCGAAAGACTGAGGCATCCATAGGTACCTGTGTGTAAACAATAAATAACCTCTTGCACTTGCATCCAGTGGACTGGTCTCGTCTCTTGGGGGCAAGGGCCTTCCCCCCTGACAGGCTCCAAACTCTTGGGGTCTGCTGGGGTCTTTCAATATGAACCCTGGAATCCACACAGTGAAGAGCATTGGTCAGGTACACAGATGTTTAAAGTCATTGAACAAAGTGGAAACTGCAGATCCCTGACGATTACTTGCAATGAAATTCCAGAATCTATCTCAGATCTTTCCGTCTATCTGTAAATTCCTTTCCCACACGTTCACCTATTAACCTGTGTAATAAATATAAATTCAGGGTCTGCTCTTCCACAACGACCTCCCTGGCTTCTCACTACTCAGGCAAGGAGTCAGCACCAGGTGTTCTCTGAGCACAGGCTTTCCTCCTCTGCACCTCCCCCAGGAGGAGGGCACAGCTCCTGGGATCACACTGGGTGTGCACTGACTCCTGGTCCATCATGCACTGTAGGGTTTCCCTCTGCGTTACGTTTCATGTTTCTCATTGAACTTCCCCCATCTCCTCTGATATCTTGAACATCAATGGTATCTTCTGTGACCTTCCTTCATTTGTGCTAAGCAGAACACAGAGATAATTTCTGCTTGAATACAAACAGCATCCCTCAAAAGAGAATGGACTCCAAAAAAAACCAGTTCAAACACTAGGGCTAAATCATTCTCCCACTGCCAATTGCCTCACTATCTGCCCATGCCACACAACTGTCATCCATATTCAGTGGGCACAATTCAGTCCCATGAAGGTTCCCCAGCTGCCACTGAGGTCCCACTGGCTCAGGTCAGCTGGTTCCCTGGGTATCCAGAAAATGGTCTTAACATTTTCGCTCATATTATAGCTTCTCCTTCTCTTCAGCTGGACTCTGGGAGCTCTGCCCAGGGCTCAGCTGTGGATCTCTGCATCTGCCTCCATCAGTTGCTGAATGAAGGTTCTATGATGAGAATTCCGGTAGTCACCAATCTGATTACAGGGAAGGCCAGTTCAGGTACCCTCTCTGTTAATGTTTTGGGTCTTTGTTGGAGTCATCATTGTGGATTCCCAGGAATTTCCTTAGTGCCAGGTTTCTCACTAGTCCCATGGTGACTCCCTCAGTCAAGATATCCCTTCCCTTGCTCTCCCTCTCTGTCCTTACCCCATCTTCACCATCCAGTTCCCTCATGTTCTCCTCTGCTCCCCATCCCCTTACGCCTCCCCCCCCCCCCGCCACCAACACTAAGCTCCCAATTTTCTCAGGAGATCTTGTCTCTTTCCCTTTCTCAGGGGAATCCATGTTTCTCTGGGGTCACGGACCATAGGATGGTTATCTTTTGCTTTATGTCTGTTATCCACTTATGAATGAGTACATACTGTGTTTGACTTTCTGGGTCTGGTTTACCTCACTCAGGATGGTTTCTTCTAGTTCCATCTATTTGCCTACAAATTTTATAATGTCATTTTTTTTTTTTTTTTTTAACCACTGAGAAGTACTCCATTGTGTAAATGTACCACATTTTTTTCCATCCATTCTTCTGTTGTGGGGAATCTAGGTTGTTTCCAGGTTCTACTATTACAAATAATGCTGCTATAAATACAGTTGAGCCATAATGTGTTTGTGGTGTGAGTGTGCATCTTTTGGGTATATGCCCAAGAGTGGTATTGGTGTGTAGTGAAGTATATTGATTTCTAATTTTCTGGGAAACTGACATATTTCCTAAGTGAATGAAAACGAGAAAAATTCTCTATATTTATATCTATTTTTTAAAAAAATTATACATACCTGAATTTTCAATATAAATAATAAGCTATATTCAAATATATAAAGCTCTATTTAGTGTACTCTAATTTAAAAATCCATGATAGGAAGAAATTAAGTAACTTGCAGTGACAGTCAAAACCATGACAACATAAAAAGAACATAGAATCAAAGGACTATTAGTCGAAGTCAAACATGTAAGGAAGGCACAACATCAACAATTAAGACACAAGATGATTATGGTATCATAAGCTGGTTAAAGAAATATAGAGATTTTTTAACTAGATGAACAGAAAGTAAAAACATAGCCAAAGTTTTATATATATATATATATATATGTATATATATATATATGTGTGTGTGTGTATGTGTGTATATATATGTATGTGTATATATGTACATACATATATATACATACATACATATATATATATATATACATATCATATATATATATATTATATATATATGTATATATAATATATATATATATATATCTCCTAAATACAGACTTCAGGTTTTGGAAGGTAAGAAATTTAAGCTGCATTAAAATAAGACTGTCCATACAATATTAAATAATATGTTTTCCAAATTGAAAACTGGAAGATCTATGCTCTTTTAATGAATAAATATCCATTGAAATAAATATCCATTGTTCAATTTATAAAAAAGAAATCATGGTCACCTAGAAATTACAGAATTTAGACATTCACTGTGAACATAGCTGACCTAATGGAAAAAAGGACAAAGCATAAGAGAATCCACACATCATAATCCTCCTCGCACAGCAAAAGACAGACAAGGAGACCCTTAAAACTGATCTCCATCAGAACACTGTGAGTCAGTGTTCATGACAAAGCCAGGCTTCCTCCTGCATCTCAGGTCCACTCTGTCATTGTCCCCCTCCCCATTCCTACACACCTGTTTGCATGT